AACCCAAACAAAGATACTTTACATGGTTTAAATTAAAAGCATTAAAATAATGATAATTATTAAATAAATAATAACAAATCTTATAAAAATTAAAAAAATTGACTCTTTTTTTTTCAATTAAGAAGGGTAGTTAAACAAATTCTCAACAAATATTAAAAATGTTTCACTTAAAAAAATAAAACCCTCTTAGTAATTTTTGTTTGTTCCTCCATGCCACTCACCTTTTGTTCAAAAGAGAGAAGTCAGGGTATCCACTTATTTCTCTCTCTTTTTCTCTCCTGGGCCCGCAGTTTTTATTGGAAGCCCTGCTTGAGTCATCGGGCCTCTCGGCCGCTCAAGCACAGTGGAGCCGATTATGTGGTCCGAGCTCCGATGGCCTCCGTGGCCTGTCGGTTCTGTAGCCCCTCTGGTGGCTTTGTTTTTTGTTTTGTGTGGGTTTTTTTGGTTTGTTTGTTTGCTTGTTTGTTTGTTTGTTTGTTTGTTTATATGTTGGTTCTTTGTTTGTTTGCTGTTTTTTGTTTTGTTCGGTGCAGATTCGGCGACTTTCTTTCTCTTTCGGCGGCCTTCTTGACTGGGGATTCTGTTTGTTTGCTGTTTCTTGTTTTGTTCGGTGCAGATTTGGCAGCTTTCTTTCTCCTCCGGCGACCTTCTCGGCTGCGGATTCTGTTTGTTTGCTGTTTCTTGTTCTGTTCGATGCAGATCCGATGACTTTCTTTCTACTTCGGTGGCCTTCTCGGCTGGGGATTCTTTTTTTTTTTTTTTCCTTCTTGTATAATGTACTGGTCAAATTCCGGTGTTCCAGCTGGTACCGAAAATTTCGACCGGTATATCGAAATTTGACTGGTACACCCGAAATTTGATCGAAACGAAATTTTAACTTATTCCGTTTTGGTTAATCTCTAAAACCGGTACGTACCGACCGTACCAACTAGTATGGTACGGTACGATACAAACTACCTTGGTTAATATTTATATCTTTTTATTTAATGATTTTTATTTTATAATTTAAAATAATTTAAATTGAAAAAAAATACCCTTTCCTTTTATTAAAATTTTATGTTGGCTACATTTCCTATTTAAAAAAAAAAAAAAAATTTTCTACGCTGGTTGCAATTTACAGCTAAATGATTTGTTGAGCTTGGGTCAGCATTGTACATGGAAGCGAATGGCTGTCTCCTGAAGCGAGTGGGTTCACAATTCTTTTGCTTCCGT